CCCCTCCCCCCTCCCCTTCTGCCCCCTCCCCACCTCCCCCGCCTGGCCCTACCAGGCCAGCTCCCTTCCTGGTGTTTGTCATAAGGGGTCAAGAAAAATTTGGAATCAGAAGACCTGGCATTTACTATCTGCTTGTTCCTGGGCAGTCAATCATATAATCTCTTATAACTTGGTTGGTAAAATGAATATAATGTCCACCTTCTATGGCTTCAACACATGACTATGAAAGGTTTTGAAAACGAAGAGACATAGGTCAGATTGCACTTTGCCATTGATATTAAAACATCTGAATCACAAAGGGATTGTTGGCAGGGACAAAGATTTATTTATTCATTATTTTTTTATGTGCCAGTCCTGGGGCTTAAACTGAGGGTCTGGCACTGTCCCTGGTCTTTTCTTTTTCTTTTGCTTAAGGCTAGTGCTCTGGTACTTGAGCCACAGCTTCACACGCACCTTTTTTTGGTGCTTAATTGGAGATAAGAATCTCATGGACTTTTCTGCTGGGCTGTGATCCTCAGATCTCAGTCTCCTGAGTAGCTAGATTCATAGGTGTGAGCCACCAGTGCTGGGCTCAAACATCTCTTTTTAAAATGTCCTTGGTAATATAGAGTGACATTAAAGAGTGTCTGTGAAGCTAAGGACTATATTGCTCAGTCTCCTTTGAATTTGGGAGGAGGGGAGGCAGTGAAGTTTATTTGCTTTTAATAATAAGATGTGAGCTGAAGAGTGTGACTTTGGAGTCCAGGCAGTTAGAAGTGTATGCACCTTCTCTAATTGTTTTCCTATCTGATGCTGAATGAAAAAACACCAAGGGCCAGAGGTTACAGAGTATAAAATAGAGGGAAACTGAGTCCCTGAACCACTACATGGAAAACAGTTACCTACTGGTCAAGAAAATTCTCATTGGATTAGTATATGAGTAAGAAATACATTTTTATTTTACTGATCCACTGAAGTATTAGGGTTGATTTATTACAGCAGCTAGGTAGTAGAGCTCAGTCAATAAAAGGGGCGGAAACTCAGCACATGACATGAATAGCAGGCAAGATCTAGGCCATTCATGTCCATCTGTGACTAATAAAGTGGCCATCCGGCCACGGCAGTGAAAAAGGATTTATTTTTTTCCCCTTTTCTTCTTTTTATCTTTTCTTTTTTCTTTATTTTTCCTTTCCCTCCCTCCCTCCCTCCCTCCCTTCCTTCCTTTCTTCCTTCCTTCCTTCCTTTTGCTGATCCTGGGGCTTGAACTCAGGGCCTGGACATTCCCTGAGCTTTTTTTGCTCAAGGTTTGTGCTCTACCACTTTATCCACAGCACTGAGATAAAGGTCTCACAGACTTTCTTGCCCAGGCTGGCTTCAAACCACAATCCTCAGATCTTAGCCTCCTGAGTAATTAGGATTACAGGCCTGAGCCACCAGCAACCAGCACAAAAGGATGTCTTTATGCCATATCAAACAGGATTGTCAGGCTGTTTGATGTGTGTTTCTACACATCACTTTTGGACACATTGTAGAACCTCAGTATTGAAGCTAGGAGTAAATAGTGTTGTTACTGTGATCGAACAGAATCTGTGGCTTGAGACCACAGAACTAGTTCTGGGTGGATCTGGACTCTCTGGACCTTCAGGTTCCTGGGCAGCCCCCTTCAGCCCTTTTTCCCATTCTCTGGGGTTTATCCTAGCATCTCTCTTGATTAAAGTCTAACCTCTGGACAATCCAGAAATGACTCCAAAAAATAGAGATGACGCTTCAAATGGATTTTATGATTTTTTTCATCGACCATTTAATCAGCTAAAAGATACTTTTTCATTTTCCACTTGGTATGCTGTGAAAAACAGAATGAACCTTTGAACCAAGACCTTTCCTCAGCTCCTGCTGGTTTTTAAATTTTGCTTCGGTTTGCTTACAGATTTCATGGTTCTGTAATTACTACTTCTGTAGCAGAACTTGTTACTAATACTGCTTTTGTAGTCTCTCTCTCTCTCTCTCCCCCCCCCCCCCCAATGTGTGTGTGTGTTAGTCCTGGGGCTTAACTTCAGGGTCTGATTACTGGCCTTGAGATTTTTTTTTGCCCAAGTTTAGTACTCTATCATCACTTGAACCATAGCTCTACTTCTGGCTTTTAAGTAGTTAATTGGAGATAAGAATCTCATAGACTTTTCTGTCAAGTCTAGCTTTGAACCACGATCCTCAGATCACAGCTTCTTGAGTAGTTAGGATGATAAGCATGAGCCATGGGCACCTAGCTCTTAGCCTCATTTTTTTTACTGGGTGTTTAAACTTAGGCAAGGGCTAAAAGCTCACAGTCCAGAGAGAAAGTGAGAAAGAGCCTTCAATATAAGCTGGCGACCACTCTTTTGTCAGAAGCACAAGTTGGCCACAGTTAGAATCCAGCTCCTTTCCCCCTTCCCTCTTGTATGTTATACCCTGCCACGCCAACAACTGTAGTCATTCTGTGACTACCCTGTGCCTTTAGAATGCACTTCCTTCAAAAAGCAAGACTTCTCACCAATGTAAACCACCATGTAGTCTACTGAAATGTTCTCATCTCCATGAAATCTTTCCCAGTCCCTCCAGGTTGAGTTGTTTTTCACTGGGCTCCCATGATAGTCTGTCTATACCACTTGTAAGTGGGGGAGGGCACTCAGGGCTAGAATTGCCATTTTTATTTGCACATTGGTGTTTATAGGCTTCATGAGCTGCTTCTTCGGACGGAGCAATCACACACAGTAAGGCTCCTCACCTGTCATCTGGATCAGTAGTAGACACAGCACTCAGCAACCACTCCCAGGTATTCCAACCACTAAACCTCCTGCAGGGGTTTCTGCGTTATGGAAATGGCCTCCTTCGGGAATGGGGAATTGGAAACTGCATTCTCTCTGTTGAAGACTTTTGTACCCAGGCACTGAATGGAAGTTTTAGTTGTGAGGAGGAGCTTTGAGGTCGTGGAATAGCATCAGGGCTGAAGACAAGCAAAGCAGAAGAAACCCCTTGGGAGATGAATAGGCTGGGCTCCCTTGGCAGAGAGAAGCAAGTCTGGGAGAGATCATGTGGCACTGGGGGAAGGCAGGATGCGTAGGCCTAGGTCTTAAGGGCTCTTAGGCCCCTATGGCAGAGCTGTGCTTCTTTTTGTTCCACAAGACCGACCCCCACCCCAAAAACCAAGCCTTCATGGTATTGCCCTCCTCTCCTGTTGCTCTTTATTTTTCATGGTTTCTGTTTTTTGTAACTCAAAGGACCTTGATTAAAAGAAATTTGTCTTCCTCTCTCTAAACTGGAGATGTCTTAGGAACTATACTCTTCTATTACCAGATTATGGGGCAATGCCTGGAAAGTGTTCAAATATGTTCACTGAATGAATGATGCATCAGTAAGTGAATGTTGGCTACGCATCTACTGGAAATAAGGGTACCGTTTTCCTGCTGTGCCTTTCTCATACAAAAAGCTCCTTCTTTATCATCACAGTTTCTTTAACCACAAATGTCCCCCAGCTTCTGAACTTCCAAGGCTTGACAGCTAGCATTTCCTTGAAATGTTTCTTTTTTCCTTGAAATATTTTGCTAAAAAAAATGGCTGGCACATTGTCACCTGAGCATGATGGGAGATGACACTTTCTCCTGCATTGCATTTGCTTTAGAAGAGACCGGAGATGGCCTCTGTTCTGTTTGCTGGAGAAACACAGGGAGAAGCAAGCAGAGAGATATAAGTTGAGCTTTTATTTTTTTTTTTTAAACCAACCCAACATTTCCACCGGCAACTGTCAACATAGCTTATGACACAAGCACTATTTCTTTTTTAGTTATTTTTTTTTCTTAAAAAATGTGTTTAAAATTAAACAGCTGTTATTATTATATTTTTCCCCTTAGAAAATGTATTTATGTCAATGCAGAAAGCCTAAAGACCTGTGGGCAGTTTGTGGTGATGTGGTGTGTATTTATCTGTGTTTCTATGTGTATTTTAAAGCCAAGTTCTTTTGAAATTTGTTGGGAAAAGGTTCACAGGACATGTCAATCCATTAAAAAACAAACAAACCCAGGTTCCATGGGGTTATGGTGACTAGGATTCCACTTAAGGGGTGTGTGTGTCAAGAAATGCCCCCCACAGATTGGAAAAGAGCTTCATGAGATTTGAAAACAAGCAGGCACATGGGAGCGGGGAGGATGTAGGGAATTTCAGCCCCTATCTTGTGAAAATGTTTTCAAATGTGGCCTAAGGGCCAGGAGACAAGGAAGGGATCCTATACTCTGTTCTCTTATAAACCTACAAATTCTTCCATGGCTTCAGGAAAGCTATGTCAGCCCTGTTGGTGTGGTGCTTTAGTTGGTGTGGGGGTGATGTTGATATTTCTTAGAAACACTGACATGTTTAATAACAATCTTTTCCCTTACAGAGCTCACTGGTTGAATACCTCTTCTCTTCTGCTTCAGATCCCAGACCAAAGAGATTTGAGAGGCACGAATCCCTTTTGTGTCCCCATTCCTCTTTTTGTCCCACAACCCCCACTTGATAGGTTTTCCTGTTGGCGGTCACGTGTACAGATATGGGCACCACAAGATGCGTAAAGGCTTGGACAGGGAAGTGGACAATTGCTTTTTTTGTTTGTTGTTGTTGTGTGTTTTTATTTGTGCCAGTACTGGGTCTTGAGCTCAGGGCCTCCTGCTCTTGCTTGGCTTTTTCCTCTGAAAGCTGGTACTCTACAGCTTGAGCCACAGCTCCAATGCTGGCTTTTTGTTAGTTAACTGTAGGTAAGAGTCTCACAAGTTTTCCGCCTGGGCTGGCTACTCAGTTTCCTGAGTAGCTAAGATTACAGGTGTGAGCCACTGGCACCCAGCGCTTTGTGTTTGACTTGATTTCAATACAAGTAGTCAAAGCTCCTCCTGCTCCCCAAGTTGATATGTAAGTGTATTTCCACTCAACTTCCATCCCCCATCAAGAGAAGGGGGACAGGAAGACCTCATGGGGGCTAAGGGATAGCTGTGACCCAAATGATGGGAAGATGTTTGTGTCTGAAAGTTCATGCCTCTATCTGTTGGCTCATTTCTGAAGTTCCTTCAGTGGCATCTTTGTTGCTGACATCAGAAAGAAGGCAATAAGCAAAACCTGATGGAAAAACAAAAGCAAGCACAAGAATGATTACAACAAAAAGAACATCTAGACCAGCCACGTGGAGATGATTCATTCTCAGCTGAATGAGAGAATCACAATGTGTCGCATTGGAGACAGGAGGAGGCATCCTGCCCTCAGAGAAACTAGAGACAAAGGAACAGTTGGAAGGTGGGACAGGAGAGGGTTTGACCTTGGCTATGGGTCAAGGACATGAGGGAAAGGATGGAGTAGAGGTGGATTTGTTGCTGTGGTTGGTTTGTAGTTAATTAAATACTTTGGAAAGTGGGTGTTTCCTCCATTCTGCTTGATTAAGACTTGCCCTTTTGGTGACTGCCAGGGCCTAGGTCAGGTGAAGTTCCTGGGGCTCGAGTTCTGATGCTGCCTCTCCAGGGCTGCTCACCCTGGCCCAGGGACTGGTGTGGAAGTGCCCTTCTCTTAGGAGAAGTCCTGGGCCTGCCCTGTAGGAGGCCTTTTTTGGTGGCTCAGAACCCTTTGATGTAGCAATAGGCTTCCAGGGTGGCAAAGAGTATGTAGAGGAGCCACAGGCTCACAAAGAGCCACGTCGTGGCAAGCTTGCAGCCATGAGGGCCTCCGAGCTCCCCGCCCAAGTGGGGTCGCCGTCGGTACAAGAGCACACTGATGCACACAAATGCAAAGATGGTGAAGAGAGTGACGGAGAAGGCCAGTGTGCCCGCTGACACGTGGAATTCCTGTCCCTGCAGGGCCCAGTAGATGGCAGCCACGGACCAGGCCAGGCCAATACCCAGGAAGACATTGACGGCATTGCTGCCTGTGACGTTGCCAATGGAGGCATCGGCGTACACGTCCTGCAGGGCAGCAGCTTTGCTGGCAAATGTATCTGGAAAAAGACAGAGACAGATGACTGGGTAGCAAGAGCTAAGAGACCACTACCAGCTCTGTCAGTCAGGAGCTGAGCGGTCTTGGGCAAGTCACATTACTGATCTGGGTTTCTTGTTCCTGGTCTGCAGAAGCCTGGAAGATTCCCAAGAGCCATTGCAGCCCTGATATTTGCCAAGTGGGCTTATTCTTCTTCCCCACCTCCCACCTCCCACCCCGCCCAACCCCCCCCCCCAGGGGTGGGGGTGTTGTCATTTTATGTCTTCCCAGGAAACTTTGTCATTCTGGGAAGCTGGTTAGAAACAGATTGTAACTGTCATATGTCACTTAACTCTGAGAATACCTATGGATTTAGGACTGGACTTAAGACTCTGATCCTCTGTTATTTCTTCTATCTATTCTTCCCTCCACTTTTCCCCTTTCCTGTTAGGTCTCTTAAGACCTACATAATAGTGATTCTAGGCATCTCATCCAGGAAACCTTCCCTTTCTTATCATTTCTTATCCATTTCTTTCTTTTTTTGGGGGGGGGGGTCCGGTCGTGGGGCCTGAACTCTGGGCCTGGGCGCTGTCCCTCAGCTCTTCAGCTCAAGACTAGCGCTCTACCACTTGAGCCACAGCGCCACTTCCAGTTTCCTGAGTGGTAAGATAAGAGTCTCATGGACATTCCTACCTGGGCTGGCTTTGAACCATGATCCTCAGGTCTCAGCCTCTTGAGTAGCTAGGATTACAGGTGTGAGCCAGCAGTGCCCAGCCCTACCTCATCCTTCACTGGGTAGGACAGAGTACATGCTGGAGAACCATGATGGGGATATCCAAAGAGACACGAGAAAGATGCTGTCTGCCTAACAATGTGTGGGACCACAGGACCTTGAAAGATGTTTGGTTTTAAGTCTTAAACTGTAGGAAAAGGAAGACTACCAGAGATACCAGCCCAACCATTTTGTTTCACAGGTAAACAAAGCAAGGACCAAAAAATTTGTGCAGGATTACACAGTAAGGTAACCAAAACTTGATTCTAAAACCCTCACATTAGGGTATTTTCCAAACAGCTTCAGCCAAAGCCATGAAATCAGTTGTATGGGCCATATAGTAACCTTCTTAAAGCTCCTCAATACTGTCAGCTATGTGTTTTATTTTCTGGAGCAAATGCCAGGACATGGAAGTGCCCCAAGCTATCTGCCTGCCTAGTTTGCCCTGACTTGTCTCATCATTGTCAACATTCTCAGACCTTCCGGAGGAAATTTCTTGCTCTTTCTTGCCTATGACCTTGCCTTTTTTTTTTTTTTGCCTCTGATCCTTTGTTATTTCTCCTCCCATCTATTCCTTTCCCAGAATCTGCCTCTTTCCCTCTAATGGTTTATGTCTCTGAAGGCTTGAATAATAGTGATTATAGGGAATCTCACCCACAAAACCTTCCCTATAGCATTACATTTCTTATCACCTGATTTATGTTCATGTTAGCCAGACCTCTTCATCACTAGTGTACAAATCACTCCACAGATTTGCGTTTGGTTGGGAGAAGAAGTTTTCCTAGACTGTGATGTAGGCTCATACTTCTTCTAGTATTGAACACACTCAGTGTGTCTCCTGAGTACAGAAAGGGTTTTCTTGGTCAAGCCAGCAGACTGATCCCTGATAGTTCAGCCCAACCTTCTGTAGGAGAGTTGTTTGGAGAAACAACTCAGAGCTGGCCAGAACTCAGAGTTTGGGTGTGCTGAAGACCTCAACTGAATTAAATAAGGAATGTGGCCTAATGTAGCCCCTCTATACCTGCTACCTCTACTTGCCATACAGGTTGAGCTTTCATAACAACATTCCTTGAGATCTATCCCTGATCCCATCCTAGCCTAAGTCTCCCTGTTTTACACTTTTGCTTCATGGAATTGATTAGAATTATATTAGAGAGAGTATTAAATATAGAACCCTTTACTAGATTACAAACTCAGGGTGAAGAAGGAAACATACCACTCTCGCCTCTTTCCCTAGCAACTAACACAAAATTGTATCAGGCCCATCAGGAGCTCAGTAAATAGTTGCCCAAGGAATGACCTAAAGGGTGCCTACTCCTGTTTGTAGGTATTTAGAATAAGAAGAGTACGTCATTCATCCTTTGAAAGGACAAATCTCAGTAAGCTTCCCTCTCTCATCTTACTAGGAGACACTTTGCACTCATTGGTCCATACAAGCAGAGAAGGCCAAGAATGCCTGCAGGCGCAAACATTAACTTCTTCAAGCAGATTAAACGTTAGTGTGTTGGAGAGGTATATAGAAGGACATTAGCTGTATTCTTTGCCTTACATTTTAGTGTCCTAATAATACGTTGTAGAGGTTAAGAAAGTAGGACCTTATATTTGAGCAGGTAGCTTAACCTGGTGGAAAGGAACCTCAGTTTCCTCATCTGTCATAAGGAGATAAGCTTCCCTAATTGGTAGGGTTTTGGTGATCGTTGCAAGGACTGAATGTATAAATAAATGGTGAACATCAGTAGTGTTCAGGGAGTGTTGGCTATCACCATTAATACTATCATTAATCTCTTGGATTAACTTTTGTGTAGTGTTAGAACAGCTCTGTGTTAAGCTCAGATCTGAGTTGCCAAAAAGGCAGAAGCAGAATGCAGGGATCAGTTGAAGCAGACACTATCCTCTTTACAAACAAATGCCTCCTGCTCTCACCTGGTACAGAGGTGCCAAATGCCACAAAAATAACAGCAGTGACTGAATCCTTGAGACCAATAGTGCAGCCAAAGTGAGAGGCCAGGTCCCCAATGATGGCGGTGAGCATGCCGATGATGAGGATGGAGACGACGAAACAGGCCCAGCCATGGCAGTACTCGGTGGGGGGCACACAGGCAAATAGCACCTTCCAGAAGACCGTCAGGAAGTGCATGACATAGTCAAAGCAAGATGGCAGCCTCTCCTCCCCTGATTCATCTTCATCCTCTTCCCCTGCTGGAGTCAAGATAAAGAAGCCCAGGAAAGGTCAGAAAGATCATTCATTTATGAGAAAATCAAGTCTAACCCACATTATAAACACCTTTGGCCAGAAGAGTGTAACTTTGCCCGGGCAGCTGGTGAGGCCCAGTCTATGGGAAGCAGAAAACATGAGACTAGGATCCAAATCAGTCATTTGTTTATTGGTCAACTTGAATCCAGAGCACCTGAGTGAGTGTGATAGTTCAGTGAAATAGAAAAGAGGGACAAACAAGCTATAAAGACATAGGGCAGGAAACACGGAAGAAGAGAGAAGAGGAGAAAGAAAGAAAGAAGGCTGGGCTGGCTGCGTTAATTGCCTAGGAAAGGAAAAAAAAGAAAGAAACGGGTCATATGCTCGCTCTCTTTACTGAATACCAACAGGACTCCTCTTGAATTTTCTACCCTGACTTCTATATTAACCATCCAGACTCTGGTCATTTCTGTCCTCAGAGATGGCTGTCATTTCAGATGCTGCAGGTACAACAGAGAGCCAGTACCAGCTTCCCAAGGGCCCCATGGGGGAAGAGCAGAGATGGGTCCCCATTGTCTTTGCCAGAGACTGCAGGCAGATTTGCCCATTCAGCAGCCCAGAAAAAGGTGTGCTGAGGCACACTGGTCACATAAAAGCCAACTGCTTATGTTTGGAAAAAGAAGTCAAAGCCAGGAATCTGGATTCTAAGTCTAATTTTGCATGAAGAAAATCTTCTCTGAGATATATGACTTGTTGTTTCTGGACCTCATTTCCTTTGTGTGTAAAAGTAGGAAGGGTGGATCATGTGGCCTTTTATTCCACTTGTCTCTCAAGGGACACAGGTAGGGCATCTGAGTGAGCACTGGAAGGAGCCAGGTGAAAGTAGGGCGGCAGTAGCAGCAGCCATCCGCCTTCCTGGCAGTACTGTTTTGCTCTGCCTCTAGGACCTTGGGGATGTGACCCTTAGGTTGCCATGACAACAAAGCCTCATGAAAAAGACAAGGCCAGTGGTTCTCTGCAGTACAAGGAGGGCTCAGTGGTGCTGAGAGGCAATGGAAGGGTGGCTTGGAGATACTATCCATCCTCATTCCAGCACCTCTGGGGCCTACCAGTAAATCCAAAAGAGAGTGGCAATCACCCAGGGTGGAGATTGGTCAGAATCAATGTGAAGCATTTTTGCAAATTCCTGTTCCGACAACTCTAAATCATAGTCATTCACAACTTTATAGAAAAGAGAGACCAAACAAGAAAAAAGAAAGGCATGATAGAAATCAGAATCTACTGGGTGCTTATTATTATTATTATTATTATCATTAGTAGTAGTAGTAGTGGTGGTGGTGGTGGTAATAGTATTTTGTGATGATACTGGGGCTTGAACTCAAAGCCTGGGCATTGTCCCTTAGCTTTTCTGTTCATCACTGATGCTTTACCACTAGAGCCACAGCTCCACATCTGGCTTTTTGGTGGTTAACTGGAGATTAGAGTCTCTAGGGAGTTGGAGGCATGGCTCAGTTGGTAGAGTGCCAGCCAATAAGTGAATCATCAGGTACTGAGTTCAAGTCTCAGTCTCAGATCTAAAAAAAAAAAAATCAGAGTTTTATGGACTTTCCTGCTTGAGTTGGCTTCCTCAGATCTCTACTTTCTGGGTAGCTAGGATCACAAGCTTGGACTACTAGCACCTGGCTTAGTGGGTGCTAACTACAGAGTTAGATATGTCTTTCTGAGGAAGGTAGCAATAGTTCTTTGGGGAAAAGGACAATGATGGCAGTGAGGATACTCACTCTTGTTCCCGTTGCAGATCAGGATTTGAAGGCAGACATAACCATATTCTTTAGTTTACTCTCTGATTCTTCCAATAAGACATAGTGAAACATGTGAACATCTAGGACCAGAGCCTTGAAGACTGGATACATCCATGAAGACTGACCCTTCCTGGAACTGGTGGACAGCTGATCGGGTTACACCCTTCCTTCTCAGGGAATTGTGTAATTCCTTCAGTGAGGATATCTTGGGGCCTTGCTTACCTGCACTGACTGTGATTGCCTCCATGAACTGGTCCCTCCAGGAATGAGTTCCCACAACCAAGGCTAGATTTGTCTTCTTTATCAGTTTGTCCACTGTAGTCTGTTAGAGAGAGAAAAACTTGGAACTGTGAGGTTAGAACACTCAGAACCAATGTGGAATCTGGCGCTTTAGAGGAATGAAAGGTGTCTGTCATTCCAGGGGTTCAGAAAGTTCTGTCTGGAATGGACTTGGGTGATATCCTCAGGGACAACCCTCTTATTTCTTTTTCTAAGATTGTAACTTCTGTTCTTGAGTATTCAGAAATATGATAAAGAATAAGAATATGTTGTCAATAAACCTTGCCCTGCAGTAATGAGTTTTGGTGTCTATATTTTTAAAATACAGTTAAACAATTTTGATGGTGCATCTGGGGATTTTCTAGCCCATTGATTCCATAGTCTGTATTATGTGTCCTTACAACATTCTAGCCTACAAATAGCCAGCACTATTTGCTGTGTGTAAGAAATGAGGAAACTGAGCCCTGGCTGGAGGGGAGGGGAACTGATTTGTCTGGTTTAACTTCATATATTTAGCGATGGAAATGGAACAATAACATGTGTTTTCTGTCCTTCATCCTATTATTCAACTAGACTTTACTGATGGCCTGACCTTGAACTCATAGGATTCTTCAATGATGACCTCTAGTTTGGGATGTTCTCCCAAGACTGGTTTTCCCATCTCTGCTATCCTCTTGGCCTCCTCTTCCTCCACAGTCAGCTTCCTGTCTGTTACCTCTGCAAAAAAAATAAAATAAAATAATCAGACTAGGATTCTCTAGGATTCTAAAGCTCAGACTTTTAGACCTGGTCATTGGAAACAGCAAATATCTTTCAGGAATGGGGGCTTTGTATACTTTTCAATGCATCATTCTGTGAGATTCTGAACATGTCATGACCGTCAGACTGTGACAAGGCTTATCCTAGGCCTCGGATAAGCACATCTCTATCTTATACCTGGGTGCACCATCTGAGTCAAAGGCTTTCCCAGAAAGAGGACCAAGTGAAGTCTGCAAGTCATTCAGTGAGATGTGGAGTGGGAAAGAAAAGCCAACTCTCTTGACTTGGTCTAACTGTTGGGTCTGATTCTTTTTCCAGCCACTTCATGGAAGAGTTCTAGGGCCTTCCTACATTCATCCAATGGGAATGTCTAGTAGTTGACAACTGTTTCCAATGTTGTTGACACTATTCTTTCCATGAAAGAGGAAGGGGGCATAATTCTAGGGATATCTACATCTCATATAAAAAAGTGACTACTATCCTCACAATGGGAAACTTGGAAGATTTCCTCCAGAAACTTCCTGGTGCTTCACTGAAAGATTTCCCAGGATTTTGCTACAATTCAAGCACATTTCTTCAGGAACACAAACACTTTGTTCAAAAACAGAAACAGAAGAGAGGTATTCCTTTACTTTCTTCTGGGGCCTCCTCTGTGTCCCCCAGCATCTTGACTCATTTACCAGTGATCCTTTCTCACACTGACTAGTTAAAGATACTTTCTGCTTCAGCTGGTGAGTCCATTTTAAGACTACTTCACCATGAAGACATGTTTTCTGGATTAGAGTGAAATAGAGATTGAATCTTTTTATTCCCCTTTGATTAGAAAATCACTCTTGGTAGCCTGTTTCTTTCAGAGCTCATTTAAGCACCCTCCCATCCCAGGCTACATTCTCACATGCAATTAATTCTTTTATTCAGCTCCATAATTGCTTTCATCCCACACAGTAAACCTCCAAGGGGGACCCTCCAGCCCTTGGATAATCTCAAGGACAAAAATGGGTCAGAGGCTACGAATGGATTCTTTTCTTTTTAGCTGGAGAATTTGTGAAGACAGGTGTGTGTGTGTGTGTGTGTGTGTGTGTGTGTGTGTGTGTGTGTGTGTGCGCGCGCGCAAGAGAGAGAGAAAGAGAGAGAGAGAGAGAGAGAGGATGCCAATTCTTGAGATTTCGATTAAAAAGAATTCACTGAAAAGGCTATAAGCCAAAAGTATAAGTTACTGAGCAGATATTTTATGTAAAGATTTCCTTGGTTGATCTGGATGATGAAGATAATGTGAGAGTCTTCAGGCTCTGATTCCTGAGTATGGTGAGATATTTCACTCAGTGTTTCTAGTAATCTAAAAAAAAAAAAAAAAAAAAAAAAGGTTTGGGAGCTGTCCATGGTGCTGTATCCCTGTAGTAAACAATTATTTCTTGAGGGCCTATGTCCTTTTGTATGTTTCCAAGTCAGCAAGTAGCCTGACTTCAGTAATGTCATTGAATCTGAGTCTTTTATTATTTAAGCCTAGAAGCAAATTTGTGTGCATCTAGGTGTTTGGTTATCTTTGAGACCAACAATACTAGAAACAAGATTGCAAGTCACACTGGGATAAAGCCCTTAGAAAGAGCTACATAGATTCCTTTTGCAAAAATAGGTAGTCTCTTCCTCGGCCTGTAGCTTTAGGCACCATATCATACTGCCTATCTTAGAAGTGACAGTGTTTTTCTATTACTCCCCTCCTAGATTCCCCCATATCATCTTTTACATGTGCCACAGGAAGTTTATACCAATATAATGAGCTCTCCAGTGACACATAAATGTACCTGTCTAACCTCTTGTCTAGCTATCAATCTAGCAGTATATTTATCTGGCAGATTATTGATCAACCTGCTGACCTGCCCACCCCTGTGGTGACAGTTTTTCCATCTACCTTTCCTCAAAAGTCTCATTGGCAAATAACTACTCCTCTAGCTTTGGATATCCACAGCCCCACAGGTACTCTGAATATATCTGTTAACTGATTTGGGACATATACCTTTATGTAAATTCTGATTCAGTGTCTTGAAAGTAATTCCTGCCTTTTCCTACTTTTGTAATGATCATTGCTTTAAATTTCTTGACAGAATGTTAAGTCCGAACTTAAAGCCTAATTAAGGTCTTCTAAATTAACGGCTTCCAGACTGAATGATATAGAAACCTCTAATGGAACAAGAAAACTTTAATAATTCTTTTTTTTTTTTTTTGGGTCCGGTTGTGGGGCCTGAACTCTGGGCCTGGGCGCTGTCCCTCAGCTCTTCAGCTCAAGGCTAGAGCTCTACCACTTGAGCCACAGTGCCACTTCCGGCTTTTTTCTTTTTGCTTATGTGGTACTGAGGAATCGAACCCAGGGCCTCAAGCATGCAAGGCAAGCGCTCTACCACTGAGCCACCTTCCCAGCCCCTTTAATAATTCTTATAACTTATTTATGTAGCTTCTTAGAATTTCAAGTGCCGAGGACTTGTGATCTTGGTATAAAGGACAGGTGATCTTGATTTGGACACTGGCTAATCAAACTCTCAGTTCCAGAGACAGATGTGGAAGAAGGAAAGAGAGGTAGAATATGAGTATGGTGGAAGATTGGACAAGTACTGGAAGAACATGCACTTCTTAGGTCAGACAGTGAATGGGTTATGAATGCTTAGCAGGCATCCTCAAAAAGAAGTGGGGGTATGTGACTGAGATTCTCACTCCAAGTCCCCTGTACTGGCAGAGTAGCTCAGGATTAGCATACTCTCTGTCTTTTACTACCAAATGTTATTAATCATGTTGGCCTTTTTCCCCAGAAAATCAAAATAAAGATTTGAAATTTCCAGGGGATTTAAAGCCTTTATTTAAAGGCTTAAAGATGTAAAAACAATGTCATTTTAGCTTCCATTGGTATTTGAAAGTATGTTACAAATATAATGAAGCTTAAATTAAGTCACAATCATATATATGTATATATATATATGAATGAAGTGGAACAAAAAACCTAATTATCTTACATATGAATAGATATTTTTCACATACAAGAGGATTATTTTCACATACAAGAGGATAAGTAGAGAAGAAGTAGAGTGGGAAAAAGATCAAAACCTTGAGGGAAGAATGAAGAACAGGGTTAGGGACAGATCTTAACCTGCTGGTATACGTAGGAATCAGCACGACAAGGAAGGTGAAGTAATTTTCTTCACAAAAGAAAAATGGAGAAATGTCCTACATTATTTTGTTTAAGGCTATAAGAAGGTAAATGACTTTCCTGTTTACATCGCCTCTTCCTAATCTTAGGGTATAGCCTGAATACCAATAAACTCTGTAAGATAGTTTGCCTTTGAAATGACCTTACACTTTTACTATGTTCAAAGAACTGATGGAATGTAAGATGTTCTTTTGAACGTACTGGAGTGATATCCAAGAGCCTGCTTTGCCTGTACCAAGAGTTATTATTTGCCAGATCTGGGGAGATGCCTGACTAGTTTCTACGCATATAAACTTACCAACAAAGTAGCTGTACGTCCTATGTAGAACCTAGTTCTACACAAGAATCTCTCCAAAATAAAGGCCCCTAAATCTCTATTTTTGGCCCTATCCTTCTTCTTCTTGGTCATAACATACAATGAAAAAAAATGAACCAAATTCTTAGCTATTTAGATGTTAGCTGTGATAAGTTAGAAACTTTCCAGGATCAGTAAAATTCCAAATTACTTAAAAAATTGCTTTTCATGTTCTCATAGCAGCTCTTGATCATTTCCCTTAGGTCACCTGGGATCAAGTATGTTCTTTTGCAATATCTCATTACAATTCTATTGGAAGATTGCTGGTTAGACTTTCTCCATCTCTTTCCCAGCAACCGGAGGTGCAGATGAATCAAGACATAAGAGATGTACCACCATCTTTTGGTAAGTTTCATTTTTTTCTTTCTAGTCCCAGAGAGAATTAGCTATGCATGTACCCACATCCACTGATAGAAATGATGCTCAAGAAATAGTGTACTTCCTTACAATTACTTCATATAGGGAGATAAGTCTTCCAGTCCTTAGGAGAACTTGTCAGGTTAACAAGAGCCTGCTGTTCTTATTAAACAAATCAATGGCCATTGATCTGAAACCAAATAATAGCCTTGGCAAGAAGTAGAACAGAGGAGGAAGATACCTCTTACCTGGAGATAACAGGAGCGCTGTTGGTAAGTGGATACCAGACAAGGGGAAAAAAGAAAAGGAAAGAGTATTAAGGTTCCATCTCGAAAGTATTCCCAAGCTTTTTTCTGGCCAAGTAAGGAAAGCAGTGAGTTTAGTAGGTGAGGGCTCAGGAATACATGCACAAGGCAGCATTTTGGAGCATGCGCAGCAATAGCAGCAGCAAGAGGCATGGGCAGCTGGAAAGGCTGCAGAGCAGTTAAAAGAGAGTTATTCCCACATTTCCCTCCAACTTGAAAATTTCGGAAATGGAGGAGTGAGGACAGGAAGACCAGGTGAGAAGGATATAAACTGATTTGTGATCCACTGGAAAAAGGAGTGAGAATCCAGTTATCATGAAAACTGTCTTAATCACCACAGTGGTTAAGCATGACCATAGGGTTTGAATGGGAACGTGGGGCTTTCGATGTTTGAATGAGTTTGAATGGTACCAGAGTGAAACGGTGTCTGTCTACACTTAGACTCCTACCTCTAACCTCACAATCAGATCATGCTACATTTCCCAGGGCCCACTAAGGTTTTCATGGCTACAAATGACACCTGAGCTACCATGTTGGCCAAAATTTTGATTCCATCCTAAAAGAAGGACCTAGTGAAAAGATAAGTCCTATAAAACGCTTCCTAGAAATGGTTTGTCTTTTTTTTTTTAAATCGTGATTTCCTGGAGGTGAGAGCCATGGGCTCCTCTCATGTTGTATCACTTACAACTACCAAAGTCCCTGTACCTTGTAGTGTTCTATCAAGCTTGGTTGTTTGCTATCTATTTTGGCAATTGCCTTTTCCATAGATCTCACCTAGATTCTCTACCTCTATGTGGCTTTTTGTTTCAGAAAGAGAAGACAACGATCCAGATATTCTGAAACAGAGAGACTATCAGACATAGATGCGAGATGACGAGTACAAGTTTCCCATGTGGCTTGAGAAACGGAGTCAAAGACATATTCAGGCACTGCTTAGGCATTTAATTTGTACTTATGCTAAACTTCCTTAGACTTCAAGGCTCCAACATTTAAAAAAAAATAGACCAATCTTGTGACACACCATGCTTCATCTTGATGGTGTTGTGGTGCATCCTTTATTCCTTGGCACTTGTCAGATAGAAGTTGGGAAACATTCTGCCACATACCCTTGGTACAGCTGGCGACTAATGGAGATTGATGAGAAAGAAATATGTGTGTATGTGTGTGGGAGTTCTGTCAATTGTTACTTCTAGTCATCCCTATGAACGCAACTCAGACCTGGGATCCATCATTCCATATTTACAATCACTGAAGACTTAGAATCTGCATGGTATATAATCAGATGGATGGTAGTTGACTTTTCTCATCTATATCAAGGAAGTAATAGGCCAAGGGATCGCCTCACTACATTGAGATGATTTTCCAAGAGAGATTATTTATTCTGCTTCTTCCATGGGTCTGCATGGAATAAACTGTTCCTGGCCCTCAAGTTACACTGAAGGTGGGAGACTTCCACACATTACTGTACTCAGCTACACCATGTCTCTATGAATCTGAGACTTCCCACTGAGTGCTCACAGACGTGTCTGTGAGATCCAGGAAGGCCAACTTTGAGTGACATGATGCCTTCAGGGTGTTTTTCTTGCTGCTGCTGCTGTGAGAAACTGGAACTGAACTTTCCCCTGTACTGATCCCCAGGGTCGAATGAGAGTCATTTATTTCTGCCTAGCCACTCCAGGGACAAGCAGGAAAGAATAGATCTCTGTGAATCATTAGAAGCCTTTGGGGGCACTTCTCAAGGTGAGTCCCTAGGTATGGAAAGAAGAGGAAAAAACAGGTTCTATTAGTGGAGGGCAGTATTTTCCTTTCCTGTCTGATTCTTCCAGTGATGTAGCTCAGGCCCAACAACCTTGATGGTACTTGGTGTTCTCAGAAGTTTACATTTAGGACCTACTCCACTGCAAGGCAATGTGTTTCCTACTTATTCTTCCATTTATCTCTCACCCCAGATTGTCTAGAGCTTTTAATAACATGTCTGAAATCTGTTTTGTTTACTCAGAATAGAGTCTCCTATTTCAAATCCAGTGCTTTTTTTTTTAAAAAAAAAAAAGAATGCAATTGTCATTTTGACCATGCAGCGTCTACATCATTCTGAATGCCTAAGATGCTCCTATATAGCAGTGATAATGAAAAGCAATTTCCACTATACCGTCTCTCAATCTGAGAACAGCAGGGAATTCTGCAAATCAATAATGGTTTTCACTTGATTCGGAGTCTAGACAATTAGGGTTTATGACCTTTCACCCTATAGTCCAATGCCAGTATCTGAGAAGAACTGAAGAAACTGAAAATTACTTCCCCCCCCCCCCAGACTATAGAGCAGGAGGTTGGATGAGTGAACGTTTTCTTATTGGCAGGTTCCATCTGGGCATCTTCCACACAGGCTTGCTGAAATCTTTGTCTTCTCACATACTCCATTCCCTGGGTCTAACCTCCCCTAGAAATTTGCTGCAATCTCCTTAGGCAGAGAATCCAGCACAAATAGGAAAGTGCCTTCAAATGGGGAGTAACCACAGGCATTTCCATTTAGTCGGGTTTCTTTCCTTTCTTTTACTTATTTTTTCTTTTTTTCTTGTGCTGGTCCTAGGGCTTGAATTCAGGGCCTAAGGCTATCCCTGAGCTTTTTTTGCTCAAGGTTAGCATTCCACCAGTTGAATCACAGCTCCACATGGGGCTTTTTGATGGTTAATTGGAGATAAAAGTCTCATGGGCTTTCCTGCCTAGGCTAACTTCAAACTATGATCCTCCAGTTTCAGCCCCCTGAGTAGTTAAGGTTACAGGCATGAACCACTAGAACCTGGCAAGGTCAAGTTTCTTGAAGAGCACAAGGCTTATTTTAACCCACTCTATGTCTTGCTATTGGTAGGAGGTCTTAGGGGAGGCAGAAAAGAATAGCTCCTTTGTTGGTAGAATAAAGGTATAAATGGACCTTCAAATCCTTCCTCCTATTTGGAGTCTCCGCCTTCCCTCCAGTGCCTTATACCACCCTTTATGAAGCTTTCATCTGCACCTAAGTAGTTGGGAATTGTAGAAATTGATAACTGTAGTTTCCAACAGCCTTGGGTAGTGTATGTTTCCAACCAATCCTGAAGATGTGGGGGTACATGCACAAGAGAGGTAGGAATGAAGTAGGGAAGGTATGGAGGAAACTTCTGAGAATATTACTGGTGACAAGAACTGGATTATTGGCTGGCATATAATGTGAGAAGCAACAGCATAAGAGACCCTCTTCTGGCATTCTCCAGTAGTCAGGTTGATGGCAACATTATATTTGGTGAAGAAGAAGGCAGGCAATGCAGATGGGGAGGAATTCTTCCTCTAGAGCACCACATGGACAGATGTGTCCAAAACAGTGGTGCAGAAAATATCCATAGACAGAATCCAGTAGATGAGGGTGATGGCCAATCAAGTCTGAGAGACCTGTAAAGGAGCTTTGGAAGTGTTGTTGCTAATCCTCTTAGCTTATTGGCTATTTGCTGCTCCCCATCATGCAACTATGAAGTAGTTGCAGACTGACCACTCCTTTTGGGCAAACAAGTGGATTTCACTGCTCCATTCTTTGCAAGTATATCTCTCCTGAAGGATAGCCTGAAGGCCCTTTTCTTGGTCCCCCTCAAAGGCATTCTTACTCACTACCATATCTGTTTCTCTAGCACTTTTACACTGGTAGTGGCTATCAATCATTTTCTCTGAGAGGAAACAAAACAAAAACAAAAACAAAAATCTTTCCTTATATCCTTACATCTATACCCTGGTCACAACACCAAAAGGCTTTGAGGCATGGTGTTGAGATGAACCCATTGGGATGGACCCATGGCAGTTACTGAGGAAAGAAGAGGAGGGCCCACTGCTCTAGTGTGAGATCTCTAGTATCTTGGGATGTGAGCAGTGTCCTCACTTGCAGATGCCAGACAACAGCAGGTGGTCCATGAACCATCTATCAGCCATCTTCAATAGCTGTCTCTCAAAGATCAGCAGCACCACCATCCTATTTCAGAGTCCCTTCCATTGGAAATTCCCTTCCTCTTGCAGACTTTCTAATGCAGAGGTGGCATTATCCTAAAATGGTCTGAAAAAGGACTGAAAAAAAAAAAAACTCGTAGAAGAGGGAAGATAAGAAGCCAGGCAGAGGAAGATTGGCTCAGGGTTTCTGGCTTCAGGACTACCTTTGGAGCCAGCTCTCTTGCTCTCAGAAGCTATGGCCTCTGACTCTTGGTGTTAACACCTCATGCCATAGTCTGTCGACTCAACACTCAACTGGGAAATAACTACATCATGCACTTACCTCCACGAAGGATAGAGGGCCTATGGGCCACTCTACAAGCAAATAGCCTGCCAAGCATTCAGGTTGAGGAATGCAGCAGGAAACAATCAGAACATCATGACACTATGGGCCCCAGCCCCCAGCCCTGGCCCTCCCTTCCCATATTGAATCTCTACTAGAAGAGTGAGGGGTAGCAGGACCAGGGCAGGGTAGAGGCAAGGCATGCAAGATGTCACGTTCCTTTCTTTTATTTTCTCCTCCCCACCGAGGAAGTTTCACATTTACAGGCTACAGTATGGGGGTGGAGGGTAGGGAAAACAGTGGCAATTGGGTAACTGGATAATTGTAGTGTCTGACAGGAAGTAACTCATTAGGGAAATGAAGAGTTGAGGCTGCAGTGCTGCCCAGAAGGCGGGAAAGGAGGAATTTGGAACTAAATTATGACTAAGAAGGCAGAGATGACACCGAAACAGGGTGAGAGCGAGAATATAGGAGGGAAAAGACTTTTTAAATGTCTGTTGGTTGAAAGGAGGAAGAGGAAAGGGAGGGGAGAGGGAGAGAAAGAAAAATAGAGTTGCTTTTGGTTTTTTAATATTTGTTTTCCAGTTTGCTGAACGTTTTCCTTTCCTTTTATTTGTTATTGTTTTGTTTTTAAAGAATCTCACACCTGATATTCCACGTTCCATCCATTTCGGTTCACCAAGGGCAATGAAGAAATTCTCTTGCCTTTCGTATTCCTCCTCATCTACTATTTTAACCCTTATGGTTTTCCTGTAGGGACAACAAGAGAGAGAGAGAATGTGTCGACTGGGTGGGCAGGTTGATGGATCACCTGGAGAACAGCCTTTACAACCATCCCCCATCACTCGGCACATGCAGCCCCGGCCCACCACGGTGCTCTGTGACAGGACTATGGTGGATTATGTTGTTCTCATGTTTTAAAAAAAATAGCCTTAGCTTTTCTTGTCTCCTTGGTCATAATCGTTCTTAGGGGTGAGAGGGAAAAGGAACCAGGAGCCAAGGACAGGTGGGCAAAGGAAAGGAGGATAGGAAGGGAATAAAGGAAGATCTGGGTGATTGGGTGATGGTGGGGAGGAGTGGTTTTAGATCCTGCCAAGGTTAGTAGGAAATGAGTTGGGCAGCACATTCCGGGTGTCACATGGTAACAGTGGCATTTCTTTGGCCAACAGGTAAATGACCTGCCCACTAGAAATGACCCAGAGCCCTTTCACAACAGGCAATATATCCATGGAATCCAGGACCCTGCCCCTTCTTTGTAGCTGTGTCCACTTCTCACATGAGCCTGGTAAAGTTTTCAAATGAAAGTACTTCTGAGGAAGGGAAATTAGAGAAGGAGGGGTGGGAGAGAGAGAGAGAAAGGGGTAGAGAAAGTGAGGCAAGTTCTATTACCTTTCTCATTTTTTAAAAAAATCTCCTAGTGAGTAGTGGGAACCAAAATAGCTAAGTAGGATACAGGAATCCCTTACCATGCCTTTCCCTGTTGGAAAGGGACGCTATAACCCTGGGCTGACCTCCTCTGTGCTGATTAATCTGGGATTGGATTTTCAGGGGTTGAAAGTTTCTTCTCATCTCTGGGTATCTTAAGATAGCATAAAGTCTTTTTATAAATAAGCCACCAGGGAACAATTTTATTTGGAAGTTAGTCCCCTCCAAGAACTGGTTTGAGATTGGGATGTGAGCCTGGTTCTTTTGTGTGGCTTCTCCTGGGCCTTTCTGGAACTCCAGTGTGAGCAAGGGAGTCCCATTAATGAGCCAGCTGGAATTGCCATTCTATTTGGGGGGTGGTAGTAGAGGAACAGGAGGAGGGTCTGGGCTCTAAATGCTGTTAAAGGGCAAAGAGTGAATGAATGAAGGCCTATGTATCTTCAGATCCTCTGAGATTTTTATGACAGTAGGAAGACATGCTTTGCTTTGCTGCCAGAAAAATAGCAAACTGATTTGACCTGATTTGTGGTGCACAGGACTCACTGTACACTCTGTGTGTATGTGTGTTTGTGTGTGTGTGTGTGTGTGTGTGTGTGTGTGTGTGTGTGTGTTTATAAGTACATTTTGGTTGCTTTTGGCATCCTTTGTGGAATATTTTTTCATAGCCTTCTCAGTATTTGTGAGGGCATTTCTCTCTTGGTCCTAAATTTGGGGCCATGGGCTGTGTACAAGATATGAGTCTGGTATCTGCAGCAGGGACTCTAGTGAGGGATGGGGCTGAGACTCTGCACCCATCAATCTGGCCTACAGGGATATGATGACAGCTGGGCAAAGGAATTGGCAGCTCCCTTTCCACACAATGGTCTATCCAGGAACAAATTCTCCAACTTGTGTAGTGGAGACTTTGGGATATGTGAGGTCAATTAACTCTGAAGTGACTTTTACCCTGAAAAGTGCTGTGGACGTGCCGGGGAAGCCTCCACCCAGACCAGAGTTCTCTCTCCCATTTTCCCAGCCTTTTCTATCTCTCTGTCTCTCCCCCTAGCTGTTCTTAAAAGGGAAAGTAGAAGAAGGCAGGCAGGTCTTTGACTAACATCTGGAATGTAAGCCTATACTTTCAGCTCAGTGAAGGTCAGGGAAAGAAATAAGCTTTGATATTAGGAGTGTGACAGATAAGATAGCTCCAGAGGGCTATTTTGGGAAGTAGGATGAACCACAGTCCATATACATTGATTCTCCAACTTCCTGGAGCAATAAGCTTAGCCTTAAGAATAGCTGCTCCGTGGGAATCTGTGCTGAGAGCCTCTTTCCCTCTAGTGCTATCTCTTGCCAGGTGATATCTGGCCATTCTCTTTCCCCTGTGCAAAGCCACTCAGGAGAAGCTGAGAGTTTCATGTATGATATTCTCAGAGTGCTTTCTCTCTCTCTCATTCATACTAACTCTCTCTCTCTCTCTCTCTCTCTCTCTCTCTCTCTCTCTCTCTCTCTCTGCCTTTCTCTCTCTCTCTCTCTTTATCCCAGAGAATTTTTGATTGGTTCTTGAGCATTCCTCTTCTATTTACCATGTGACAGGTTGGCCGGTGTTAGGACAGATTGAGGAGCACAGAGAGGAGAGAGGAGAGGGAGAAGAGAAAAACAGAGTGAGAAGAAGAAACAAGGGAATCAATCAGAAAGGTGGAAGGCAAGAGGAAGAGATTTTGAGAAAGAAAGAAAGAAAGAAACAATAGAAAAGAAGAATGTTAATGTTAGTGTGGAGGACAGGGTACTACACCTTTCTGAATACTCATATCCACCATGCGGGGGCCCATCATCTCAATGAAGTAATTCTTGTTTTTCTCATACGCCTCATCACCAATTACCTTGATGTGAATTGTTTTGCTGTGGATGGAAAAAATAAGTATCATAAACAAAGAGCAAAGTGGGGTGAGCCAGCCAGGAGAAGAAACAGGAGAAGAAAAAAAAACGAACAGAAAAATAAAACAAAAAGAGATTCAGAAAGGTCCAAGTCTACCCTCAAATCACAGGCGTAGGGAAGAGGGTGGCTGCCCCAGACTCCTCTTCAGCCTCAGTGGGCTCTTCTTCTAGGACTTCATGTGGCTTGATGGCATGACCATACCTGAAAGCTGGAGAGAAATTGGGCTATACAGCCAAAGGCTCTAGGTTCTAGGTCTACATAGGCTTCGTGATCTTGGACAAATAATTTAACAATTATATAAAAAGAATGAATAATGCTTACACCATCCCAGGACAGTTATGAGAGCAATCAAATAAATAAGACACAATCCCCCCTGTTTTCTGGAGAGATGTTCCAAGAGCTTCTTGGACACTAAAACCATAGACAGTACTAAGGCCCGGTATATGCTATGACTTCCCCCCTCCCGGCCCTATACATAGCTATGATAAAGTTAAGCACAATGAGAGATACACATAATAATAAAATAGAATAATTATAACAATTTGCTATAATAAAAGACATTTACAACTTACACATTGTATTTCTGGAGTTTTCCATTTAATATTTTCTGACTGGCTGACTGTAGTTGACTGAAAGTGTTTTTCCCCACTTTAAAATTACAATTACTAGTGCATATTAATTGTACATGTTAATGGGGTTTACTTTGACATTTCCATAGCCTGTGTTTTGGTAGTATCTGCCTTTTCCAGGCAATTCCTTTTACCTTCTCCTCCCTGCCTCTCCCTGTAGTCTCCTCTAAAACTGTTCATGAGGAGGACTACTACACAGAGATAAAGGTTTAGGCAATGAGCTTTGCATCCTTATCCCTCTTATTGTTTGGACAAGAAAGAGGTTTTTTTTAGTTTTCAAAATCAGCTGATGTTGACTTAAATGTTTACGTAATAGTAAGAGCCGGAGGGACAAATAGGGTGTGAGAATCTCACCCAGAAATATCATTTCTTCCTTTCTGTATGGCAGTGACAATCTCCAGAACCAGGAGGGTTCAAGTCCTGGAGAAGAGACAGGAGGAGAGAAAAACAAAGAAAAACAACTCACACCAGTCATAGGAAGCCTCAAAGATACTGTCTATAAACAGGCTTCTGCAGTTATCTGGTTGCTGTGGGGTTGCACTAGTGAGAACATATTCTCTCTCTTCTAAGCCCCACAATAATCTCCACAATTAGATTGCTTTGTATGTGAAAGAATACTGTTTTGTAAATGTGAATATAAACTCTTCTTCTTTCTTCTTCTTCTTCTTCTTCTTCTTCTTCTTCTTCTTCTTCTTCTTCTTCTTCTTCTTCTTCTTCCTTCTTCTTCTTCTTCTTCTTCTTCTTCTTCTTCTTCTTCTTCTTCTTCTTCTTCTTCTTCTTCTTCTTCTTCTTCTTCTTCTTCTTCTTCTTCTTCTTCTTCTTCTCTTCTTCTTCTTCTTCTTTTCCTTTTCTTCATTGAGAGATGCTTTGAAACCAGATAGAGTTGGGTCTCTCCCTAGATGTTGCGGATGAGAGCTTTCTGCAGAGTGTGAGGCACTGCTAATGGAGCGGCAGGGAGCAGTGGAGATGAAGAGGTCCCCCAGGATCCCTGGCCTGCACCCACACATATCTCCACTTCCAGACTGCCACCTGAGGCCGGATCTTTGCTTACATGCCTTCATCTTCAGCTTTTTTTTTTTTTTTGCCAGTCCTGGAGTTTGAACTCAGGGCCTGGGTGGTGACTCTGAGCTCCTTTTTGTTCAAGGCTGGCACTCTAACATGTGAGCCACAGCTTCACTTCCTGCTTTTTTCTGTGAGTAATTGGAGATAAGAGTCTCAGGGACTTTCTTGCCTGGGCTGGCTTTGAACCCCAATCCTCAGACCTCAGCTCCTCAGTAGGTAAGATTACAGATGTGAGCCACTGGCACTTGGCTTAGCTCTTTTTTTTTCTTTTGAAGCAATATATTTACACTGTAATTTGGGACAGACTCTCTGCTCTCCTGAACTTCTGCAAGTCCCCTTCAGCACTGGGGTTGGGTGGTTCCAGTGCCTCTGTAGTCTACCCGGATAATCTCATAGAACCAGGCCTGGTTGCATCGCTTCTAAAATGAATGTAATGGCAGTTACTAATATGTCCTGTCCCTGTACCAACTGCTTATACGGACCAAGACTCATCATCTCTCTATACCCACCCCACTCACTTTAAAACCTGGCTAGCCCCCACTGGAAGCAGGTCTGGGAAACATGAAAGCCAGGGCACTTCAGCCTTCCTTCCTGGGCGGTGAGGGAATCTGATGACTTGTGTTGAAATCTCTCCTTGATCCTTTGCTGTCTGGGTGGCCTTGAGATTCGCTAAAAACCCTCCCAGTCTCATGTATAAAATGGGATGATACCAATGCCTT